TTAGAAGAAGCATTTCATTACAGCTTTAACATATTCAGTAACACACTCCAGAGCAAGAGTACATCTCTTTCACAAGTGGCTGCAAGTTTCTAGGTTCACAGTTGAGTTAATACAGTTATACAATATTGAACTCAGTATAAGTCCTGTAAGACATAAAATATTTTAAAACATTTGTTAGCCAACAGGTCGGTGCTGGGAATCAAACCTGGGTCCTCTGCAAGAGTAGTCAGTGCTCTTAACCACTGAACCATCACTCTAGCTCTGCATTTATTGTATTTTGTACAGTTTTTTTTATTTTTTATTTTTAGGTGAAGACGTTGGGTAAAATGGGCTTATCTTGGTGAACATCAGAAGTCTTTCTTTTTTTCCTGATTTTTTTGTGACACTATTCGTTAGATCAGCATTTTCTCTGCAAAAATAATCATGTAGATAATTTAAATTTTTTAATGATTTGACTTATGTATTGTTAAATGTTTTTGCTTTTTCAAATTAGTGACTTATTAAATATAAAATTTATTTGATCTAAGGAAAAAAATGAAAATAGTTAGGAAATGGTAGGACTGCTCTAATACAGTAGTAGCATTCTGTGAAAGTGCCATGAATGTAATGTGGGTGAATTGTTGAAGAGGTTCATAATGAAAAAAAAGTAAGCAGGCTTGTGAGCCACGCAGTGTTGGAGCTGACCTTGAAGCATGAGTAGAACAGGGTCATGGAAAGATGGGGAAGAAGTGCTTTTTGGACAAAGGAACAGCATGAACCTGGGTATGATGGGTAAAAAATGTGGGGGCAACAGAAAGACAAGTGAGTTGCTCAGTTTCTTTGGAGAAGTCTAAACGCCTTTTAACACATCATTCTCCAAGCCTAGCAATATTCCTAAAATGTGACAGGACAAAAAATTTGCATGTTTATTATTTATTTTTTCAAAATATTTTATTTATTATTTTTATTTTATGTGTATGAGGGTATTGCCTGCATGTATGTGAGTGCACCTGTGTCGTGCAATGGTGTGGAGGTCAGAAGAGGGCTTTGGATTGCCCTGGAACTGGAGTTAAGGACAGTTCGTAGCCGCCATGTGGGTGCTGGGAATCAAACCCGAGTTCTCTGCAAAAGTAGTCAGTGCTCTTAACCACTGAGCCATCTCTCCAGCCCTGCATGTTTATTGTTTTTATTTCTTTATAATTTTCTTTCATACTCCTTTATTTTCTTAAGCATCTGGTTGTCTTTTTATTACTTGTATCTAAGATCTTATACTAATCTTGATCTGTTTCATTTCTAAATATAATTAATGTTATCGAGTAAAGGACCATGCCCTGGGTTTTTCATGTTGAAACCCTAGCCCATAATGGGCAGTTTGGAGCAGTCTTTAAGGTTAAGTAAGGTGATATGGGCAGAGACCTCCAATAAGATTAGTGTCATAGTAAGAAAAGAGACACCACAGGCTCTTGCACAGAGAAAAGTAACGTGAGGGCACATTGAGGTGGTGGCCATGTGCAAGTCAAGGAGGAGGGCCTCTGGAGAAACCAACTCTGAGGTTGAACTTTCACACTCAAGAACTGTGAGAGAATATCTGTTGTTTAAGCCACCAACTCTGTAGTATTTTGTTATGGTGGTTCAATTTGACTCACACCTTACATAATATGGAAATTAAGAAGCTAGTCTTTCTCCCTTTCCCCTTGAACTGCGTGCTTCCTATGAAGCTGGAACTTAATTACTTCCATTTTGGAAGAGTGTATTGAATACCATCCTGCTCCATCTGCACATTTGTTTTCCTACCATTATCTTTTATTTCCCCCTCTGCTCTTCTAATGTTCTACATGAATTTTCTCTGCTCAGTTTTAAAAGAACATGAGACTATTTTGAAGAAGTTGGCCAGAATTGTGGTTAGTGTCTATCGTAACACCTAAGAGAAAGCAAAAGAATAGTAATTAAAATGCTGACTATGTGTCACACAAGGCAAGAAGACACATCACTGTATTCCACAAGGAGATGGCAGATACTGGCTAACTTTTTCATAACACCCCTAACTCTGGAAATAAGCTGGATTTTAATGGGTACTACTCTTATTCTTAACACTTGCTGGGGGTATGTGAGTGAGAATAAACCAATAGCGATGAGCTCTCTTATGGTGTTAAATCCTAGTCTTCAGAGAACATTTTTCTGTCCACAGGAAACTCACAATCAGAAGCCAAGTTAACAAAGAGCTACACAGATGACGTGAAATATTGAAACAATGATTGTGCTCACAGTTATATCACTGAAGTGTTTGTAACTATTATGAAGGCTAGATGCTGTAACGCTATGTTTTTATATTTCTTTAGACCATTATATCTTTAATGGAGAGAGAGAGAGAGAGAGAGAGAGAGAGAGAGAGAGAGAGAACTTCCAATCCTTTATTTTTTTCTTGTACAAATGACAACATGTAGAAGCTAAGGAAATGAAATAACTTGTCCAGGTCACCAGAGTAATTGATGGCAAGTCGTAGTGAGAAACTGGAGTTCCATTGTGACATATTAGCAAGAGTAGTAGACATTTTCAAACATATAGCTTAACATTAGACTGTAAGTTTCAGAAAGGAGTAAAGGAATTTGTCTTTACTTTGTGTGATGACATTTGTAGTTGGTCTAGCAGCCTGTTCAGTTTAAATGTGCCTAGTTTTCTATAAAGAACATGGTTTTCCATAATGTTAAAAAGAAAAATATTACTAATAAATGGTAAATTTGAATAGCACAGAAATCAATCAAGGTTTGAGCATAATTACCTTTCTTCTTTTTTTCAGGAATGCAAGAAGGTGGCCTCTGATGATAGATCCTCAAGGTCAGGCTAATAAATGGATCAAGAACATGGAGAAAGCCAACAGTCTTCAGCTAATTAAACTTAATGATCCTGACTATGTCAGGACTCTGGAAAATTGCATCCAATTTGGCACTCCTGGTATGTAGACAATAACAAGTGGATATATGGAAATGTTTGGACAGGGCACAGTGAGTGCAAAGCTTGTAGGCTTTTGTAAACTGTTTTTTATTTTTTTAAAAAAGAAAGAAAACATCTGTGACAGGCTCACTGTAAGTGAAGACTTTGCTGGTCTCTCACTATTTATTAATGATGGAATGAGAATACTTGTGATTTGAGTTAACTGGGTCCCATTTTAAAATCTGGGTAGCTTATCAAATGGTGACCAAATAAATAGAAATACTTGTGAAACTATGCTGTATTTAGCCCCAGGAGAAGTTCAGCAAGCCCCTCTTGCTATTACAGCCAGCACAGTCTGGAAGAGTAAACATACCAGTAATCTTACAGTCATCTTAATTGGTTTTTGAGCATCAAGTGTAATTTTAAGATTTTTTTAATGGAAGCATGAAATGAAAAAGTCTAAAGAAAAATAAAAGATTTTGTGTGTATATAATGGACACACTGACGTGTACATACATGTGGTGTTTCACTCAATTGGTGTTCTTTAATTTTAAACTATTTTAAATTGCCACATAAAATTGTATATGTTTACTGGGTACAATGTTTTGATGTATGTGTACATTCTCTCAAATCAAGGAGAAGATATCCTCAAGCATTTATCATTTCCATGAGGTAAAAAATTCAAAATCTCTTCTAGCTTTTTAGAAAAGTATGCAATATGTTCTCTATAATTACCCTACTGTGAAATAGAGCAACTGTATCTAGGGTACAGTGGGTGATACAGGAGTTGCACAAAAAGGGAAACATAATCTCTACTCACAGATATTTCACTTGTGTGACATCAGGACCATTTATGTATTACTGTAATAAAGATGGAAGATGAGTATCTTTCACTAGCCATGTGCTGTTCTGGGCAGGGCCACTGGCTCTAGATTCAGAGTATTTCCCTTGCCACTCAGTGTTTGGCTTAGTAACTCAGTTTCCTCATCTACACATTAGCTGTATAGTGTGAGGAAGAAATTACTATTTATTGGACACTTAAAGTACTGTTTGATAAGTGCTCAATTCATATGGTTTGTTTGTTTGTGTTGTTTTTTACAGTACAGAGGATCACAGTCAGAACTTTGTGTAGGCTTAACACATGCTTTACCACTAGGCTGTACCCCAGCCCTATGTTTCTATAGTGTTGTTGAGCATGTTAGATGGTTTATTTGTATTATCTTAAAATACAATGAGAAAGTCACAGACGATGCCCTGTGTGAAATCAGAAAAAGGAATTCACATCTTAAATGCTTTAAGTAATTAAAATTACTTAATATAAATATTAAAATGTTCTTGGGATAATAAAAGACAAATGATACTTGAGCTTCTTCCATCTGCTTGGCATTCTTGAGAATTCACTGATTACAGCCACATATTGTGGTGTTTAAATTTCGTAATTATAGAGCAGAAGGGGTAACAGTGATCAATCTAGTGCTTTTCAAATTATAGATCATAACCACAGAAGAGAGAGCTACCCTACTGCATCTTAAACGATACTACATTATTGAAATACAATAGGAAAGGACAGAGCACTTGTGCTTGCCCATCACGAAGTAGGATGAGCATTAGCTCATGAATTCTTTAAGTTTTGTATGTGCATTGTGTACTGGATCAAGGATTGAAATGTATTTCTTTGAGTTGTGTCCATGAAAGTTTGAATTCCAATTGTAACTCATTGCTTCTTTTATTAACAAGGTAGATGGGGTATTAGAGAAAGTTAGTAAAATGGTTCAGTCAGGTTTGCACAGTCAGTTAAGGGGAGTGCTGGAAGTGGTCCCCAAGCCTTCTGCCTCTGTCCAGCCTTTTATTGTGTCCCATAAGCAAGACTTTCAGTCAATTTAACCTATTTTTTAAATGAATCACTTTAAATGGTTAATGATTTATTTACCATATCCTCTAACATTACTCATCAGAAAGAAGTGAAAAGTCTTTATCTGTCATAGAAAAAGAAACGACAGATTTTTAATCTATTTTTGTATTTCACTATCAAATAAAAGAATCAGTTACTGTTAAAGTTGGAAAACCTGAGTGGTTAAAGACGCTTCCATTTTAGAAGTTATCTTTAGATACTGGCCTATTCAGGCACCACGGCTTCTGATAATGCATCCTTCGCAGGTGGCCTGGGTTGAGATGGCAGAGGCTCAGTTCACCTGCCTCTCCTTCAACCAGGGCTACATGTCTTTTCTTTTTTGGTTTGAGTTTAAATAAAAATACTTTTCTGAGGAAAAAAAAAGATTCTGTTACTTAAAATGTTTGACAGTCAATGTTCTAGAAAGTAAAGATGCAGTGGTATCAGATACCCCAGTCAATAAGCTATGTAGAATATGGTCATTATATAAATATTGCTGAGAAAGAAGTCATTCCGTATAGATCTTTCAATACCATTCCATTGAATGGGAGAATGTGTGGACCTGGACCTTCCTTATCTTCCCATATTAACTGCTGGCATTTTCCTTTCAGTCCCCTTTGTGTTAAGGCTGCCAAACTACTTCTTAAATGTTTCTTTCATTTACTTATTTAGTCACTCCACTAATATGCATTTAATTTGCAGCTGCCCACCACACTAAGCTTCATGGCAGGCACTGGAAACACCACATGAACAAGACAGACCTGGTTGTTGCTTTCATGCAGCTTATTAGCTTAAAGAAAGACAGACTGGTGAACAGAGAACGAGGAAGTGGAGTTCTTACAGCAGTGTGGCATCGTTTCCTATCCTGTTCTCTTCCATACATTTAGGAAGTTCTTTTAAACTTCATCTTTTAGGACAGTGTAAATACATTGTTATGGTTTGGGATTAATGCATTGATGAACTTACAATCAAATGAACAATTGGGGGGATGGCTAGTTGGAGGAAGAAGGTTACTGGTCACATGTCTTTGAAGAGTATATTTTGTTTTTGACTGCCCCCCCTTCCTGGCTGCCATGAAGTGAGGAGCTTTCCCCTGCCATACCCTCTCTACCATGATGTTCTATTTTGCCACAGATCCATAGTGATGAGAACAAGTGACCATGGAGTGAAATCTTTGAAACCATAAAGCAAAATAAATCCTTCCTCTTTTAAGTTGTCTTTGTCTTTCTCCAGTGTCTTTGTCTCATCAATCAAAGTGACTAGTTCATACATATTTCCTAACCTTTGTTGTGGTTGCAGATAACCCAACTATGGATGGCTTTGATCAGATGATTAAGTTCTTGCCAATATGGTGCAAGTAGAAATGCCATTTGGGGCTCTCAAGAAGAATCCTTAAAGGATATTTCTTCCTTTCTTTCTGATGGGCAAAATGTGGATATGACTTGAAATACCTTATCAGCCATAGAGATCAAAGCCACATGTGGAGAGGGTGACACTGGCAAGATGAAGGGAACTTGGATCCCTCACAGATTAGACAGTCCTTTCAGCCCTCTGACAATTGCCTGAGGCTTCTCTTGACATAAAATATAAATCTCCCTTGTTGATGCTACTATTATTGGGAGTTTCTGACACAACTGAACCTTATTATAAATAGCATGCCCTGTCTACAGTGGGAAAATGAGAACAAATACTAACATACACTTTCCAGAAGAAAACATATATTTAGTTAAAGAAACAGGTAAAATGCCCAAATACAAATTTTTAATATATTTTTTACCTATCAAGTGGTAAATGCCACAATACCCAAGGCAAGACCTGACTAGACCTTTACTTCAGCTGTCTGTGCCTAAGCCGCTACACTGCATTAGTCCATGGTTTCCAAGTTGTGTGTGGGTCACAGGAAAGTACAGTGTCATCATGATGTCCAGCATTTGTTTATACAGTAATACTGTGTAAAAACAGGTCTATAAATAACCAAATGAGTTCTTACTGCAACTCAGCTTTTCAGGAAAGTAATCTGGTAATGTGATTTAAAATGTCCCTGAGAGTCCAGGAATTTCACATCTGGGACTCTAGCCTGATGAGCATCAGAAATAGACACAGAATTGGTCAAATGTTCACTGCATTGTATTAATAATAGTGAGAAAATGGAATAACGGAGACAAAAGAAAATTATCATTTAATATATAATGATGCACTCATTTTATTTAACTATGAAAAACAATAATTTTATAAGCAGAAAATGAAAGATTATAAGAGACAGGGGCCAGGGGTGGTGCATGACCATAATGAAACAAGAGTCTTGTGGGCTCCTAAGAACTTGTTCATATGAACTTACCACAATAGTGACAGCTTGCACAAGATCCATGCAAACAATCTGACAAAAACCACCACAGAACTGGGGAAATGGGTAGGAGACTCCAACCTTAACTAAGGAAATATTGGCAGCTGATCCCTTGCCGGGTGAGAGAGAGTTGATCTTTTTTAAGGGTGTGATGATAGATAGGGCTGAACAGGCTCCAGTGGATGAACTCACACTGAAGGACATCTGAGGACATGAATTTGACTCGATTTGGCTTAACATATATGACAGAATGCATGAAATCCTGTGGGTGGGCTATGGAGGGTGCAGATAGGGGAGTGGGTCTAAATATGATTAAGATGTATGAAATCCACAAAAATTCAACAAAAAGTTCACATTGAAAACATTTAAAAAGGGCTGGAGAGATGGCCCAGCGATTAAGAGCACTGGCTGCTTTTGCAGAGGACCCACATTTGAATCCTAGCACCTACATGGCAGCTAACAATCATCTGTAACTCCTGTTCCAGGGGATCTGATGCTCTCTGCTGACCTCTTTGGGAACTGCATGATGCACATGCACTTGCATACGTGCAAGCAATACACTCATACACATAAAATAAGAAAATAAGAAAAAAGAAATAATTTAAAAATAAAAAAGAAATTCTCTGCTATGTCTCTCTTTAGCCAAATTCCAAACAGTGAAGGAAACAGATTAGAAGATAGTTTTAGGAACTCTTTCAGCTTCCTGTGGGGAGGGAAGCACTCCGGAGTGCAAACATCTATCATCCCACTGCCTTGAGCACCCTCTTTCCAGTCCAGATTTACTCCTAGTCTTTTGAAGGACACATAGAAGGTGCCTTGATCCGAAATTGGCTGAACCTCAGCACGCTAATGTAAAACGTAACTTAGCAAATATGCTAGGATCCTTAACCATGTCAGAAGTCTTTTGTCTCTGGATTCTCTTCTAGAATGCTATCAGAAAGAAATATTCCTAAATGCCAAGTTTTGTTTCTAATGATAGTTATTGCTTAGAGCAGGAAAACATCTAAATACAATAGCATTAAAAACATCACTGGTTTAAAAATGAGAGAACAGTAATATGTTTATTAGAGTTTTAATAGTACTGGAATTTTTTAAGGAATAGCTTCCTTATTTATTTTATGCATATTTGCATGTGTTACCATATGCATGTGAAGGCCAGATGACAGTGTCAGATCCCTTGGAACTGGAGTTACAGATGGTTGTGGACTGCCCTGGGGGTGCTGGAAACCAAATCCAGGGATTGTAGAAGAGCATCGAGTGTTCTTAAGTCACTGAATCATCTTTCTAGTCCCAGGATAGGAAATTTTTATAATGTCAAGCAAACTAATCATGGCATAAAATTTGATATTTGTTTAATCTCAAGTATGTGTGAAAAATGGATAGAGGTATTGAAGGGTAAATTTTTCATTAAATAATTATGCTATATAAAGTTTTGTTAAATATTCTGTAAGTGTATATATGGCAATCTAAACTGTGATGGGGAGAGGAGAGAGAAACAGAGAATCTGATTAGAGGTAGCTGCTCAATTTCTTCCTTGTATGTTCCTGTATTTTGCAGATGTTCTACAATATGTATGAGTTATTTTATGAAAAAATTCAGTGATCTCTGAAATAACTATACTGGCAATGCTTTTTCTCTGTTATCATGGCTAGATCTCTAATGAGTGCCAGGTCAGCTGGGGTACCCCAAGCCAGGCTGGTTGGCTAAGGATGTGGAAGCTGGTGGGATGACCAGATGCTGATGATCCCTTACTATAAGCAAGCAGTATTTTTATGATGTTGTTCTTCTGTACTCTTAGAAGAAGAAAATAACTTTATAGGCAGGTGGGAATAGAAGCAATCTAGAAAGCCAAAAGAACTCAAGAATTGAATGTGGCTAGCCAATATTTAAAATAAAAATCTTTTTCTGACTGACTCCAGTGTTGCTAGAAAATGTTGGAGAAGAATTGGATCCAGTTCTGGAGCCTCTTCTACTGAAGCAAACCTTCAAGCAGGGTGGGAGTTTGTGCATCCGGCTTGGAGACTCTACCATTGAGTATGCCCCCGACTTCCGCTTCTACATCACCACAAAACTGAGAAACCCGCACTACCTCCCTGAGACGTCAGTCAAGGCCAGTACCTTAGTGAAACTTTCCTTATCAAACTTCATGATCACTGACTGCATTTTCCTCTTCAGCCATAAGAGGAACAGGTCTTCCCAAGAAAATTGAATTTTGTTTCTTTTTTGCATTTCCTGAAATTGTAATAATAATTTCCAAATGCTGCTCTTGTGCATGCCTGTGAGTACTAAAGGAACCTTCGACACTCTGGGAAGAAAGACCAGAATCTAATTTCCACAATTGGTACTATTCTTGGATTTTCATTGTTAAAAGCAGATGACACATAGTTACATTCTTTCTTTGCAATAAATGGTAGTATGTCATTATTGGAACTGACATTCGGAAACAGAACTCCAGTTTTCTTTCTCAGGCTAAGGCTGCTGATAACTGATTTTATAGAATTATTTTAAAAGAACTATTTTCTATCGATGTTCTTTTAAGATATTAAAACTTCCTTTAAAGGGAATAGTTAAAGTTTTATTCAATTAAAAGAATTGAGACATTGATCTACAGTTGGGCTCCTGGAGGTTTAGGGTCCATACCATAGCTTTGTCTCTCTAATTCTCAGCCCTGGTTGGCACTCAGTGTTTGTGAGGTGACTGAGTGAGCGAGTGAAAGGTGGGTTTGTTTCCAGAACCATCCATGAGAGGACATTAGGACATATTGATTCTGGCTTGGAAACTACATATAAAGAAAAGATTTATTCAGTGTGTTTGAATGCTCTCCTTTATTTGAAATATTTAAACTAACACAGGCATCTCTGAAGAGAGGCAAGGGATGGACCACCATGGACCACCATGGTGTAATTCATTCCTCCTGTGATGAATGAACAGGATGCCTGCTCTTAAAAGGTTCACACCATGCACAGAGCACAGTGTGTGCAGAGTGGCTGCATTGTGTGGACCAGAAAAGATGTTGGCAGTAGGGTAGTGGTGGCTGCAATATGTCTGGAGGTTCAGAGTTGACACACTTAGACTGGACATTAATGATGACAGGACTGGAGGAGATGGAGTGACAATTCAGCTGAGTTTTAAAAACATAATGGAATGCCATGGTCACTGTTTTAATTAGCTTAAATACATTATGTTATCTAAACACATGAAAAATACCTAGTATCTATTTGCCTATTAGGAAAGAGGCTCGCTTAGATAATTGCATGGATTTGAACAGCTGCTTTGTCTCTCACCAGATGTGTGATTTGGGTCACATCATTTTACCTCCCTGTGCCTCAGTCCTCTCATCCATAAATGATACTAATCAAAGTTGCCATATCATCAAGTGGTGTGAAGAATTATATAAATTAATCCATGTAAAGTGCTTAGAGTAAGGCTTAGTGGACAGTGTGCCTATGAGCGTTAACAATTAGCTTTATTTTAACTTTTATATAAGTGAAAAAGGATGAAGCCTAAGAGGAAATAAGATCCCAAGGCTGTTTTAGGAAAAAAATTAATAAACAATGTAGAAAACACTTTTAACTTTGCAACAAAGTATGTGAAAGTGTCACATGTGACATAATTCTTCCTTCAGTAATAACTGATTATGGTTGAAGTCGGAAGGCTCTATGGGGAGGAAACTGATTCTGGTTTAGCATTGAGATCTGTAACATCCCCAGAGTGCCTTACTGTTCTGTTATTTTTTAATTGCTGGGATTGATTAAACAGGGATTAGGAAACATAGGCAGTTATTGGCTTTCATTTCCAAATTTGAATATTTCCTTTCCCTTCTATGTTTTAGGACATTTCATATACCTTTTGCTTTCAAAAGCACTCTAGGGAAAGGTTTCTTGCTGCTATAATTCTTCTGAGTCTAAATGAAAATAAAATTATTTTACCATATTTATACAATTTTAAGTTGTCTATGAACATGTAGCTACATTTACATAATCTTGGTTTCAAAAGATCCAACTAGTAATGAATGCTTCCTGTATGAGAACGCAGGGAAATAAGAGTTACAAAATGTGCATTTTGCTGACACTGTTTTTGCATGAAAGTATGTGTGGCTTGTGTAGTTAGTATAATTATAATTTTTCATGAGTAAATGCCAAAATACTAGAGAACTGCATAACATCTAGGAAGTTTTCCAGGTTGCTGAATTTCAGAAATTGCTGATTATCTCATCTAAACTTTTGATTATGTCTATATAACCTATACTTAGTGTCATCATAGGCCAGCAACTGAGCAAGTGGAAAAGAATAAGCCAGATGACACCCAGTGCCCAGCACAAAGCAGAAGCCTGGGTGACTCACCTTTCTAGGGCACCAGAGGAGGCTACTTTACATCTATTGCCCAGGTAGTAAATCTCCATCCAAAAACAAAATGACTGTGTCCCTACAGAGGGAATAGTCTCTTACCAGGAAAGGTAGTGACCTGGGTATTCTCCTGTCAGGAGCCAGATCTCAGAATACTGGGATGAAAAGACAAAGATGAAGACAGGGCAGCGCCCCACTAACAGCGTTCCCTGCTTTCAATTTAAAGGAAAGGAAAACCTTTGTCAGCAGTTTACTAGTGAGGCAAAACCTCCGAACCTTCTACAGAACTCACAGCAATTTTAACAAGTAACATTTGGACCTTCCTTTTTTAAAATTTTAAATGGAACTTTAAAAAAATATTTTATTTATTATTTTTATTTTATATGTATGTGTGTATTGCCTGCATGTCATGCAATGCCCATGGAGGTCAGAAGAGACAGTTGGATCCCCTGGGACTGGAGTTACGGACAGTTGTTAGATGCCACATGGATGCTGGGATTTGAACCCCGGTCTTCTGCAAGAACAGTCAGTGTTCTTAACTGCTGAGTCCTTTTTTAAAATTTTAAATGGAACTTTAAAAAAATATTTTATTTATTATTTTTATTTTATATGTATGTGTGTATTGCCTGCTTGTAGGGAAGTATACCTGTGTCATACAGTGCCCGTGGAGGACAGAAGAGACTGTTGAATCCCATGGAACTAGAGCTATGGAACTAGAGCTGCCATGTGGGTGCTGGGATTCAAACTCGGATCTTCTGTCAGAACAGTCAGTGTTCTTAACCACTGAGCCATCTCTCCAGCCCCAAAGAACTTTTGTACATTTCATATAACAGTTCTTAAATTTAGACCCCTTCTCCCATTCATGCTCCATTTTCCCCATTGGACCTCATGTATTCTGCCAGACATGTTAAAGTCTATCTGTCAAGCATTTGTATTCAGATATCCTTCAGTGTAAATTCATTCAGTGGAGTCTAGTTAGCCTATCTAGAGATCATAAGTAAAGTAGTAATCAGTCTCCAATAATTCTCAGGCTGGCCCACCACCCATTTCTCTTGCTTCACTCTGGGCCCTTTTTTGATTGAGTTAGCACAGGTTCCGTGCTCAATGCCACCACTTCCACAAACTCACATTTGCAAGCTTCCAGTGGCCTGAAAGCCTCTGCTTCCCTGTGTTCATGAACCAGCTCTGGCTCTTACAATCTTTTTACCCTCTCTTCCACAATGGTCCCTGAGTTGTGGGTGGGTGAGGTTTAACATAGGAATCCTATCCTAACATAGGAGGCATTCACACCCTTTAGTCTCCTATTCTTTAAAATCCTTCCTTAAAAAAAACAAAACAAAACAAAAAAACCCCACCATCCCATTGTTAAGAAAACATTACTCATCCTTATGGGAAAGAGGTGGCTAATGTCATGGTCCTACAGTTTGTACCCTGTTTGAGTTGAGTTGAACAAGGCTGAACTCTTACCCTGAGCTCCTGTGTTGGAACTTGGTGAAGTGTGGAGTGGAGTGTGCAAACAGAAGGATTAGCTTCCTCTTCCTCCTTCTCTTCCTCCTCATCCTCTCTTCTTCATTTTTCTCCTTCTCTTCTTCCTCCCCTTACCCATTCATCCTTCTTTATGGTTAAAAAAACTATAGTATATATTTAAGCCGCATTTTCTGCCGATGGGCACCTAGGTTGGTTTCATAAGTTACCTATCGTGAAGTGCTGGAATAAACAGTGATGCACAAAGTTCTCATGATACATTGACTTGCAGTCCTTTGGGTAAATACCAAGGAGTGGTATAGCTGGGTCCTATAATAGATATGTTTCTAGTTTTTGAGAAACCTCCATAGAGGTTGAAGTGGTTTACAGTCCCACAAGCAGGGTATAATAAGGGTTCCATTTTGTCCACATCCATGTCAGCATTTGTTGTTTATTCTCCTAATGACTACCATTCTAGCTAGAATTATCTGGAATCTCAATATAGTTTTGATTTTTGTTACTCTGATGGGTTACTGAGTTCAAACATTTTTCATATGTTTTTGCCAATTATGTTTCATCCTTCGGGAACTTTTTGATTGGGTGGTTTGTTTTCTTGCTCTGCTTTTATTTTTGTTTTTATTTGGTACTTTATATATTCTAGGTGGTAATCTTATATCAGCTGTATAGTTGGAAGAGGAGATTTTTCTGCAATTCTGTGAACTGTCTCTTCACTCAACCATGGTTCCCTTGACTATACTTTTTAATTTCATAAGGTCCCATTTATCCATTGTTGGCCTTATTTCCCAAGTGACTGGGTTCCTATTCAGAAAGTCCTTGCCTGTGCCTTTATCTTGAAGTGTTTGCCCCACTTTTTCCTCTAATAGTTTCAGAGTTTCTGGTATTATATTAAGGCCTTTGATTTGGAGTTGATTTTTTTGTGCAGGGTTAGAGATAGGATCTAATTTCAATCTACATGTGGATATTCAATTTTTCCAGCACCACTTGGTAAAGAGGCTCTTTTCTCCGATATAATTTTTAGCATTTTTATGAAAAAATCAGGTGTTGATAGTTGCCTGGGTTTTTACTTGTATCTCTGTTCTAGTACATTGAGCTACACATCTGTTTTGAGAAGGCGCCTTTTCTAATCCAAATAAGATGCCTTGTCAAGCACAAGCGCCTTGGGTGGACTGAAATCAAAACATTACCACCTTACCACAGAAACGATTTAATAAGCCGCATATGTGGATGTGTGACTGGTTGTGACGTATCACATGTAGGTAGTTTGCACATTTGGTTTGTTTCTTTTCTACTTGTTCTCCTGTTTAAAGTTTTCATTAAAGCTCTGATTTGTTTATGATAAAATAGGAATTTTTACTGCAGGAATAGGAATTTTTCTCAGGAAGCTGTGATATACAATATATTTAAACCTCTTGAACAAAGTGGTCAATAACATGTAGCGTTCCCTACATGAGTTGTTACATGAGTTTAGAAGACTGATTCCTAGAAGGAAATGTCCTTTCACTGAGGAACTAATGAGAACTGGGGCAAACACCAGGCTGTGATTTGTCTCAGTCAATGAAATCACTATAGTATTTTCAAGGCTAGGGAAATATTTCTAACATTGTAAATAATAAAGAAAATGTTGGGCTCTTGTCTACATGTGATATAGACTATTTGTCTTCACTTATGCACAGTCTAGAACTGCTTCCTGGATAGTTGCTACACACCCTCCTGTGGTGGAATGGTGGACTTGGGCTTTCCCCTCAGGTGCCCACTTTCCCCTCTGCTTTCCTGTGCTGCTTCTAGAGAAGTGAACAAACTCATGACTGTATTCAACCAACTGTGTATTGTAGGGAGTTAGGACCCAATGAAAGTGCACAGCAAGTTGATGGGGGAGGAATGGAACACACTGGGAAGGTAGTCAAGAGCGGGTGGATCTGCAACTTGGAAAATGAAGAGCTGATCTGGTGGATTGCAAGGGTAAGGGTGTGCGATAGAGCAGACACTGAAGGACAAGCAGGGAGGCATTTAGTAATTCTCATACATGGGATTCCACCAAAAGTGCACAGTGTAGCTGAAATAAAAGATGTGAAAGGAACAAAGAAGGCTGAAGTCAGGGTTGAAGCCCTTAAGACATGTGGCATGTGGGCAGCAGACATGTCTGAAGACAAATACAAATACACGAGAATCAGTAAACTAAGAATTTCAGAGGAAGCCACTCTAGTAAGTGTTTATTGATTTGTAGATTCATTGGTGACCAGAGCCAGAAAGTTTCTGTTTTATTGCTGTGTGTTTGGATAAGTACATAGATACAGGGAAAGGAGCAGGTTGAAGGGGCTGGATAATTAAATGAAATGGAAATGGAAAACATATATGTGTGTATGTATAGCATTTTCATCAAAATATAGTTGTGAAACACAGAGATCAGAGATCATTCTACAGCTGGGAAAATTTGTGAGCAGTTCTTTTTAAAGGAGAGACTTGAGCATGGATATGTACCTATGGGAAAGAACCAGGAGAGGGAAAATTTTGAAGATGTGGCCAATGCACATGTGCATACCATACCCTGTGTTCACACAGAGAGAGACAGAGGCAGGGAGACAGAGAGACAGAGAGGTCTGTAAGAGCAATGAGGTATCTGGATGGAATGGATGGCAGCAGAGAGTCTTTGATGAACACTACTAAAATGTACATTTTTTAGTGTATGTTCATGCAGGACAGTGGCTCATTACCGTATTGCAAAAATACTTCACTAATGACAAATAATTGCAGTGTTCTTTTTTCTCTTTTCTCACAAGATTTTTACATTTTGACAGCATTAAGATCCTTAAAATGTAAATCAGCTAGTCCAGCCAATATTAAGGATTGTTTCTAGCCCAATTCTGATAGATTTCCCTATTAAAGAGTTGTCAGAAATGAGACCAGTTTGGACTGAAACTAATGAGAATGAATAACTAATCCCTTTAAGTCTTCTCTTTCATTCTGTGACAGACTTCTGTAGGTTTTGAAGTTAGTGGTCAGGCTTTAATTGGAGGCTTTGTGACCCTACTTGCATATATATTGCTGCTGCAAATGGACTCAGTTCTATGGACAGACCCTGAGCCATAAATTTTGTGAAAACAAAAGTACATTTTGAAAATGTGTTCTTTCACTTACAGGTGACATTGTTAAACTTCATGATAACTCCAGAGGGAATGCAAGATCAGCTTTTGGGAATTGTGGTGGCGCGAGAAAGGCCAGACCTTGAAGAAGAAAAGCAAGCCTTGATACTGCAAGGAGCTGAAAACAAAAGGTTTGATATGTCATGAAGCATAGAAACGTTGGGCACAATATAAATTAAAACACATTTTAAACATCTATTTAGTTAGATTTCATAGATATGCCAGATGGGATTTTTTTAAGATTTATTTTTAATTTTTATTCGTGTGTGTGTGTGTGTGTGTGTGTATGTGTGTGTGTGTATGTGTGCCATTTGTGTAAAGGCCAGAGAAACGCATACGGCCCCTTGGAACTGGGATTACAGGCAGTTGTGAGCCTCCTGATGGGAACTGTGGGTGCTGGGACCCAGGTTCGCTGCAAGAGCAGCAAGGGTTCTTAATTGCTGAGCCATCTTTCCAGCCCCCAAATGGGAAATTTTAAATGCAGGAGGTTACAGAGCCTCTGCATTAATTTACAACACTGCATTCCTGAGTCTGTTTCTTAGACACCAGAAGAAATGGAAAGTTTGCAGCATACACAGCACACAGTTTCAATCCTTCAGCAAAGTTTTTGCTCCAAAGTATTCACTATGTGACGGAGGCTCTGTGTTTTCATTGGAGCATGGTAGAATGAAAGTATGAATGTTGCATCCCATTTTCTGCTCATAATATCTATATTGTAAGTAAAGAGGGTGAAGTTCTAGGGGTCATGTAACATTTTAGAAAATAAATGGAGCGGCACTTCTGTTCGCTCCAAGCTGAGGCACAGGCTGGCAGAGAAGACTGGCTTGTCCTATTTCTCTCAAGGTATCACATAAATGATCATTAGTGAGGAAACTGGAGCAGGAAGGCCCATCTTTGTGACATTTTACAAGATAAGAAATTAATTACACAACATCCCTGTTACAGATACTTGTCACAAAGTGATGCATTTCTTTAAGGTTACAAGCTCTTTGTTTCTTATAGAAGGATACATATTTGAAGTGATTTTTAAGCCATTTGTTTTTGTTCTGAGAAAACTGTTTCATTCCAGGCAGTTAAAAGAAATAGAAGACAAGATTTTAGAAGTTCTTTCATCTTCAGAAGGCAATATATTAGAAGATGAAACTGCTATTAAGATATTATCTTCCTCCAAGGCTTTGGCTAATGAGATTTCTCAAAAGCAGGAAGTAGCTGAGGAGACAGAGAAAAAGATTGATGCCATGCGAATGGGCTATCGCCCAATTGCCATCCATTCCTCTATCCTGTTTTTCTCCATTGCTGATTTAGCCAACATTGAACCCATGTATCAGTATTCGCTGATCTGGTTCATTAACCTTTTCATCCTGTCCATTGAAAATTCAGAGAAATCAGAAGTCTTATCAAAAAGGTATGTAAAAGAAATACCAATTAATACTACATTTGTTATTTTATGGCTTTGACTGTTGTTTCAGAATGGCAGGAGCATCACAGCTGCGTGCCAAAAATGAATTTGGCTAATCATTTTCCCTAACATAAATCTGAGAGTCAGAAGTTAAACAGACATGTCCAACTCCAGTCTGTGAAGCAATTATTTACAAAGATATAGGTTTCTAATACAATTCTAGAAAAAGGAAACAGTTACCTCTATTTGCCATTTGCAAAACAGCTTAATGGCTAAAAGTATGTCCCCAAAGGAAACAACTCTCACTGTCTGTGAACCATTTCCCCAAAGCTGGGGTTTCACATTTGGATATAGAGCATATAAAATCTGTCAGGTGCCAGGGCAAAACCAAACCAACTAACCAAACAAACAAAAAACCAGAAACTACCGAAATCTGATTTTGATTAATTTTGGATAGTCACAGAATTTCTCACATATAATTATTATTTACATAAAATCGTATTTTACTGTTGACTGTTTTAAGAAGTGACAAGAATTAAATCTTGTTTAACAGTCTATGAGAGAATGAAAATTCATTTGATTTGTTATTACAGAATAGTTTGGCATTTGTTTCTAATGTTTAGGTTTTTTCTCTATTCTAGTTCTTAAAAGTTTTCAAGTTAGGAGGGATTGCTGAAGTAAGGGAAAACACATTTTTAGCTGGTCTTCCTTTTAAAAACTCCCAGTATGTGGGTTAGTCAAACATGCATGTCTGTTTGCTCTACTAGATTTCAAGTTTTGAGACAGGATTTCTATTTCCAAAGTTCCAGTACTTACTTCAGCACTCACTACATTATAACCACATAGTAAATGCTGCTCCTTTAAAAAATATTTATGTATTTATTTGTTTGTTTATTTATTTGTGTGTCATGTATATACACATTTGTGTGCGAGGGCATGAATGTGCAACAATGTACATGTGGAGGTCAGAGGGCAACCTCTGATGTTGGTCTTCACCTTCTACCTAGCTTGAGGCCGGGTCTCTCCTCTTCATCACTGCTCTTCCTCCAGACCAGCTGATTAGAAATGCTGGGATTACAGACATGCACTACCCCATTTGACTTTGATATGGGCTCAAGGATCTGAGCTCAGGTCCGCGGCTTCCATGGCAAGTGCTTTTACCAGCTGAGCCATCTCTCTGACCCATGATATTCCTTTTCACTGCAGTCCTTCATTTCAACTTTGGTTAAAACAATATGCACCAGAATGTTATCCTCTAAGTAGTTTAAAATCTAGGTTCTTGTTGGAGTTTTGAGAAAAGTTCTTTGGCTGACACTGAATACACATTTTTATAGGATTGAAAAATTATAACAAGTTCATGCTTTAAACATAACTCCTTTAATTTTCTCTTGTTATACCAAGTTAGAATTCATTTGAGATATTGGCATTTGTTTCTTTACTCTAGTAATGAACCCCTAGAAATTCAAAGAAATCAAGTCCTTTTTACCCAGATTTGGATAAAATATAGAAAACAAATGCGGCTTTTTTATTTGTAGTTAAAACTCTTTATTTAGAAATAATGCAGACCACTGTATATGTGAAATATTTAAAGATTAATAGAGAGGACATATTTAAAAATCTTTGGTGAACACAGTAGTATACCTATAATATGCAGATACAAATTTTCCTAAGGGACCATCCCTGTGTAACTAGCACTCAGCTCAAGACGGGAAACTTACCAGCATCCCAGAGACACCCTCTTGTCCACTTCCGGTCACTGACTTCACTTCCACACGGTAGCCATTGTCCCAGCTTCCAACACCACAGATGAGCTTGGCCTGTTTTAGAATTTGGTCTAAATAGAATCACTGTGAGAGTTCTAGGTCCAGCATTTTGCACTCAACGTTGTTTGCACATATTGTTTTGTGCAGTGCAATGTTTTGTCACTTTCATTTGTAAATAGTTCTCCATTGTGTGACTATTGTTGGGGAAAATAATTAAGAACTTAATCTTCTCCCAACCTAGACATCTTCTCCAGAAAGGCAGAGAGAAAGAAAGCAGTTTTATTATTGCATAAGCATGAAGCCAGAAATGTGCTGTACATCACAGGCAATCTGAAGAGAGGTTGCAAAAACAGAAGGCACTCTCACCCCTTTATACCAGCCAAGCATAAAGTCACACTTAGTTCATCCTCACTCTGCTAATGGAGAGGACCATCCGTGTTAGCAAATTAACTTTATCAGGAGGAAGAATAAACATTTCACACTTACATTAGGGGAGGCAGAGTTGTCTTTTGAACCAGAAGCCTGCTGAAGTCAGACTCCTGGCCTTCCACAGACACTGGGAGGGAGGAGGGCCTCTTCCCTTAATGTTTATATTTCAAAGAGAGCTTCCCAGGACCTTGACAGAGACAAGCAAGACTTGACTAGGTTTTGGAGGGATTTAAAAAAATAAACATTTCTGGGGGCTGGAGAGATGGCTCAGTAGTTAAGAACACTGGTTGTTCTTGCAGAAAACCTGGGTTCGAATCCCAGCACCCACATGGCAGCTAACAACTGTCCTAACTCCAGTTCCAGGGGATCCTACAGCCTCTTCTGTCCTCTGTGGGCATTGCATGACACAGGTGCACTTGCCTACACACAGGCAATACACACACATAAAATAAAAATAATAAATATAAAAAATAAATAAATAAAAACATTTTAGGGACTGGCAAGATGACTCAGTGGGGAAAGTGTTTGCTGCACAAACCTGATATGAGTTCAAATCCCTCTTTGAAGCCATAGTTGAAGAAGAGAACTGACTTTCAAGAATTGTTCTCTGACCTCCACAGATGCACTGTGGCACACCAGTACACACACACACACACACACACACACACACTTATAATAATAAATAAAATAAGAATTTTAAAAAGCACATTTCAAAGAGAAGAGAAAATACTTGGAATTTTTAGATTCTCTAAAAGCCTTTTGTCTTTAAGTTTTATTTTGCCTGACATTATGCCTGAAAGTACTTATCCATTCCACTGTTGAGCTTCTAGTCTAGGACCATGGTGAATGTTTGCTGATTGGAGCATCCCTGCATGTGGATTTGGTACAGACATGAGCACATCTGTGGTGGGTGGATGTCCAGGGATAGAGCTGACGGAGGACACACATACACTCCCTTGTTAACTGAGAGTCTTCTAGCTAATCCTGTTTCATCGTTTTGTTTTGCAGTGAAATAAGAGTTTCCAATTAAAAAGCTATCTGATGATCAGAAACTAAGGGAGAATGAATTCTCATAGAAATGATTTGTTATCTCCAAATAATTGGTAAACATGCTAAGTGCTGGATCTTAGCAGCTATTGGACTCAGCTTTCCCCAAAGCACAGAAAGCACAGACTATTTACAGTAGCTTGCTTTCCAAAATTGTTTTAGAATCTTAATATTGGTCTAAAACTACTTCTCATTTCTATGTACTGAAGTATATAAATGTATTTCATTCTTATTTGTTTTTGATGGTTATTATTCATAATTATTTAAGTGTAACATCAAGAACATAGTATGAGTTCTGTGGCAGATACCATGAAATTTCTATAATAATTTGTATTATTTATAAACTATGATTCATTACTGGGTATGTAGCTGTTGTTAAAATTCCTTGAGGGGGTGATGTAAACAATTCCCACCCCTCCTCCCTTGGTCCCAAAACCAACTGAGGTTCAATTCCACCAAAATGCACATTGGGAAACCAGTAAATTTATTGGACTTACTTACAGAGCAATGGGGGTAGGGTTTACTTATAGGAGTGTGGATGACCCCCACCAAGGCTACACCACAAAGTTTTCACCTGAGCACAGGTGATAGCTTACTCATAACCCCTTAAAATGGAGAGAAACCCTCCCTTAGCCTTCCCCAGCCTTTATGGTCTAGACCTTCTCTCAGGCCATGTGCAAATAGGGCTGAATTGCTTATCACAGGTTTGGAGGTGTGGCTGGATACTCAGGTGAGGGTTCCATGACTCTCCTGCCTCTCCCATGTGGGGCCTCACTAGTCCACAAGCCCAGCTATGATGATCTTAGGCAAGCAGGCACAGCTGAGCTCAGGAAGATGGTGGTCCTATTCAACAGTAGCAGATACTTAAATAACTGTAGCAAGAAAAAGATATAGAAAAAGATCGAACTAGGATATTGTTTTATTAAATTTGGGGTCAACCTGAACTCTTTATCTACATATGTACATATACATAAATACACTTACGTGCCTGAACGCACATAGAGATTTTTTTGTTTTTCTACCACTCCTGTCAAGATGCTTCTTTGCAATTAAATATTCTTCTGTAACATAGTTTTAGTAACTGTACTATTGTATGGTGTTTCACCTGAGAAGACCACTCAGACAAAGTTTTGCCAAATGAAAGCCTTTTATTAGCTGGCCAGTGACTACACAAGAGTGTTGGAACCCAAGTGCAGTGCCCTGTCAGTCAGTATTAGGGTAGGTTTTTATACAGAAAAACTTCATCCAGGGTGAGAAGTTTAAGTTTCTAAGCATTTCCACAGCTTAGGGGTGGAGAGCCCCCTAATAATTCCCATTTTGCAAAAGCAAGCCAAGCATACAGTACAGAAGCCATAAATCTGTGGTTAGCAGGAGCAACCAGGGACATGCTGACCTGTTCCCTTGGCAACTAGTGGCCTATTGCTGCATTTGCAGCTGAACCACACCTCTCTGTTCCCATACCCTGAGCCAACTGCCTTTTGGTTTCAGAGGCTAGATTCAGCCTAGACTTCAATATGGTATAATTATGATCAAGAAGGTGCCTTATCTCAATACAATATACATTTTATAAATATAATACAAAGAAGAAATAGGTATTATACATAATGTTGTAATAAATATCCATACTTATTTCTTTATTTGTAAGTTCCTTTCCTGGAAGTTTATTTAAATACATAATTCATCAGAGAAACATGAATTATTTTATGTCACTATATCACTTATCAATATATCAATATTGAATGATAGTTTTTAATCTTTTTTCCCACTGGAATAGTTTATTAAAATATCATATTTTAATCTATATACTTCATCACTAGTGAGACTGAACTCAACTCAAACTTCTAATAAGATTGAGAAAGGATGGAAAGATAGGGAAAATGTGGGGCTCATGAGAAGGAAAAGGAGCCCCTTACCCAGGCATCTGGTTGAAACCCCTCACCAACAACAGAGCAAGAATCCTACACAATTAAGGACTGATTGAAGGCTTTCTCCTCCCTTCTCAGCCACAAATCTATGGTTTTCTTGGACTCTCACCAGAAACCCCTTTTACAGGGAAGACAATTATCCTATGCCCTTTGTGTGTTGGTAGTGGCTCCTGGTTTTACCTTGCCAGGTTATAATCCCATCCAAGGCATCTCTGGAGCCACTTCAAGTATTCCTATTGAAAGAAAGATAATAATCATAATAATAAAGGTTTCTTGGCAACCTTTTGAGATGTGACTTGAGAGCCACCAAAATGGTGTACATAGGAAATGCCAACAATTGCTTACTCACTCTCTCTCCCTTGAGTATGGGTATGTCTTGTTTTCCCATATTATCCCTTGAGAAGCCGTACCCTCACTTTAGTGTGTTTAGTGTGTCTACATATGTACATATGCATAAATCCACTTACGTGTCTTTCTTTACATCTTGGTGCTTAAGCCTATATAAAACATCTTTAGTAAAATCACCGACTCTGCTTCATACACCATCTAGTCCTGAAATTCTTTTGAAGAAAGAATTCAGAATTCTTCTGAAGCCATGAATCTCAGTTTGGCCTGGATTGAGGTCCCTGAAAGTCCGGGGGAAGTGCTCAAACTGCTGAGGGTGGTGGTGTGGCATTGCCTCTGTCCCCTCACTGCTGACATTTTGACATTTTGACCACTAAAATAATCTTCCCCTTCTTATCTGCAAGAGGAATTTGATCTTTGAATGTGTACTTTTATTTTATTCTAGAAAGACCAAATTCAAGTTACCTGGTATTAATTATACTCTTACAGGAGACACAAATTTCATGCATGAAAAGACCTATTAACATAACAATGGAAACCAGAATAGAAGGGTTATTTAAAACTTCTAAGAACTCAACTGTATTTCAAGGACTATTTTCAAGGCCCTTTCTACTAAACTTCTTTTTTTTTCAGAGTTCTTAGCTAGAAATAAGATACATCCATTTGGTGTCATTCTCTTAATGGGAGTGCTGGTGAGGGGTAAAATAGTTAAGAAAATGGACAGAAGAGGAAGATGAGAACAACAATAACAAGGAACTAGGATGAGCCGTAGCCAAAGATGGCTGTCTAAAACTAGCTCAGATCTTGCCACAGATAAGGAGAATTTTTTTCCTAAACACATTAAGAAACAGTATACTTTTTTCTTACTCATAAACTATGTTGGTTTCTCCCCTGAATAATTGATCTGCTTAGAAGATCTGAGTCACTCATCCATGCTGGTCATCAGCTCTATATGTTTGCAGTCAACAACAGTTAAAATTATAGTTTTCATATCCAATGAAACAAGCATATTTGAAATTTTTGACTTCAGTGATCATTTCATGTAATAATCATGTTAAAAGGAATAAACCATCATATTAACACTAGGAATTATTAGGAATATAGATCACTCATGTTAACACTTATTAGAAAGTTGTTGGAAATTTTGTGATCACTTGTATTTCCGTGTTTTCTCTCTGGCAAATAGAAATGAACTTAAATTCGATCTCTTGATTTCTCCAATTTTGATAGAGTTGCGAGCTCAGTACTAAATGGCCATTAAACAAAAGGGTTATTAATTTTATTCATTTCATATACTATAAAATATTTATTTTGTAAAGAAGTCAAATTTCAGCACCCCCCCAAATGTTTTGCAGTTGAAAATAGCCTATAAATCCTTCAAAGAATTAAGACACCATGTACTTTTTTTTTCCTTAAAGGAAGATTTTTTTTTTTAATCACTCAACACTAAAATGCAATTCAAGTGTTTCTACCTTGTGTAGGCTCTCTAATCCTCAAATTAGTACATCCAGTGATTGAAGATTCTTCATTATTTGGGTGGGAAATATTTTACCAGAAAGTGTTAGAACACATATCTAAATGTTTGTACTGGCCTTTCTTAAGAGCATTTTCTTCATGGTGTAATGTATTATGTGTCTTCCCTTCTCCTCTGCTGGCCCTTAGGCTCCAAATTCTCAAGGATCACTTCACTTACTTACTCTATGTCAATGTCTGCCGGTCACTTTTTGAAAAGGACAAGATGCTTTTTTCCTTTTGTCTAACTGTGAATCTGCTGATACATGACAATGCGGTAAGTGAGGGTTTAATGTGTAAGATCACAAACATTGTCGTTACAAGAGGATGGCCTTGTGGGTGTACCATAACATGATGTCCACATCTAAGTTCTATGTGTCTTGATGAAATAATTTAAATATGGACTCAGAAGAAATCATGAAGATCATTTTATTGGGGTTTGAGAGAAGAACAGTTGGGTAGACAAGCTGAAATTCTCAGCAGGTGCTGGAAAGAGGAAGAAGAAGAGCAAAGCCTTCTGTAGTAGGGTCAGCCTTCGAGGACCACAAACAGCTGCAGAGGTGCTGGGCAATAGGTACTATTGGTGGTCAGGATCTGGGCCAGGCCTTTCCAGGTTCTTGGTGTCTTATTCAAGAATAAAATAAAGGCACACTCAGATTGCAATGTAGCAAGAATGTTTTATTCAAGGCAAAGTGATATTACAGATTGGAAAGGAATGTGCTGTCAAGATTGACAGTGGGCCACATGAATGAGAGTATTCCAGGGCCCTGGTTGTTGTTTAGGGCTTCCTTTTTTTGGACTTCAAGAGGTATTTGATTGCTAAGGGGCATAGCAGGGGTGGTTCTCTGTATGTGATCTTAATCAGATGCATGCTCAATTATGCATAGACATAAGATGGTAAATAGGGAATTTTCATTAATAGTTCACTTAGATGATGCAGTTTGCCTTATTTCACATACATCCCAAACCAGTTCAGGCTAAGATTGGCTTTCCTATTCTTGCATCCAGACATAGAGTATTATTAAATGGAATCGAAGTTTGATGGTTGTCAAAGGGAGGAGAAACTTATTTCATTGTTCAGAGTGGGCTGTGCATGATACAACTCAATGCAGGCTGGGGTCTTAGGTTGCTAACGGATTTCTAGGTGCATTGTTTAGAGGGGGAATCCATGACGGTACATGCAGATAAGGGCCCTCATCTACCAAGTACGCCATTGTTAGATGGTGGTAAAGATATTCAAGCAACTGCCTTGAGGAGGAGTTCCTAGAGAATATGAATATATTCTCTCCATGAAAGAGACAATTATTCCTCCCATCTCTTAGTTTATGTTCAGGTGAATCAGGTTTCCTGAGAAGTAGTCTCTGGACAGGTGATTAACAGGTCCAGTTAGATTTACTTTTAAGGGAGGGAAAATAATATGCACTATTCTCATCTTTAACATTAATGTCATGTCTCTACCCAGGGCCAGAGGTAGAACTTAGATTTTATTCTTTTAGCTGGGAAGAAATAGCTTTCCTAGAATGGGCCTCAGAAATGCCCTGAAACCTCCAAATTTTTATATGGTAAATAGAAGGTGGGGCCTAACCCATGAGTTAAGGGTCCCCCCTCACTGTCTTCTAAGCCTGCTAATGCTGGTGTAGTTTCCTAACACCATCATGTTAACATTGATTTACTAATTCATGAGTCTGCATGACAATATATGCATTGCCATGCAGACTAAGAGAGAGAGAGAGAGAGAGAGAGAGAGAGAGAGAGAGAGAGAGAGAGAGAGACAGAGACATAGACAGAGACAGAGACAGACAGTAG